TTGAGTTGCTGGCAGTCGATCACCAAGATGGAAGCATAGTGCTATCATTCAAAATTCCCTTGCTTCATGATTGTATACAGTTCATGGAACCAAATTCCAGTGCTATACCCCAGGCAGACTACAAACCAAATCCCACTTGGCTAATTCACAAGAGCTGTTCCATGGATTTTAATAGAACTACTCACATGAGTGAAGTGAACAAGATCAGACCTGCTTTCTCCCTCCCTGTCCAGCTGCTGTCATCCCCCCTCCCACAGCTTCTCCTCCTCCTATGTGACAAACCCAATGAAACTGAGGAGTGATCAAAAAACTTTGTCTCCACTCTTCCCCGACTGCCTCCCACCACAGCATCTCTGCCTCCTCGTTTGTGTAAAAATAACTTTGCTTTACTGCCCCAGTATTTTTATATTCTACATTGCAGGAAGAGGTTTTGCTGCTCTACTAGGGTGAATTGGTTTCATCCCCTACCTCATGGCTATGAATTTAATTGGCTAAATCACATCACTGGCAGCGGCACTGTGGTTAACCCTGGATTCCATGCTGGATAAATTCCATTCTCCCACATTGTTTTCTACTATTTTGGTGCAAAGAGAAGCCTCTCTGTCTAATTATGTTATAGCAAAACTCTGAACATAATCTTAAGGAACAAATTCAGCATAGGACAAAATTCACCCCACAAAAGGTCCTTTTTGCCATCTGAATCCCACTTAATCCCTTGATACTGAGTTTAAGTGTAATATAGGAACTTGTGCAGGCTCTCTGTACTAAGGTCAGTTTCACCTCAGTCTCTTGAACCTAATCCCGTTTACTTATATGAACACTGCACAACTATTTTCACACACACTGTGCTGTACATTTACTTCTCATGAGAGGTGTGCTAGTGGTCTGAGCACAGGACGGGTAGCCAGGAACTTCAGAGTTCTAATTCCAGCACTCATACTGCCTCCCCACTCTAGCCTTCATTACTTCACCGGTAAAAGAGGGTGATTACATGAGAAGTAGGATGGTCCAGTGGTTGATGGTCCCCATGAGCTGAGGACTTGGAAGACCTGGGCTCAATTCCCTGCTCTGCTACAGACTTCCTAGATGACACTGAGAAAGTCACTTAGTTTCTCTGCACCTCAGTTCCCTATCTCACAGGGGTCTTGTGAGGATAACGTCACTAAACATTGTGAAGGGCTCAGATACTATAATAATGAGGGGCATATATGTACCTTACACAGACAGTTCTTCAGAAGCATGTTGTGAGGCGGAATTCAATTACTAACTAGGTATTCCAAAATAATAGCCTAAAGTTAGGAGTTATTGGGTGCTCAACAATTCTGAAAATCAGGCAGTTGCCTAAATATGGTCTTAAGAACCTAATTTTAGGCACCCATTTTTGAACATCTTGGTGTTTGTGTTCTAAATGGTTTTGAAAATGAAAAACCACTACAGCAAACTGCTAAGTATGATTGGACAAGAGGCTCGGAAATAAGTCCCTAAAGTAAGTCTCCTAAATTTATAGGTAAGCACATAAATATGTGGCATGATATCTCTGGGTGCCCATCACCTTCGAAAACCTGGCTACAGATCAAGGTGCCTAATTTTAGGCACCAAAGTTTTGCCCATTGTGCCTGTAAAAATGGGTCTGCACGATCAGCCTTTGAGATCTGGCAAGCTTTCCAAACTGTTACCCAAATCTGTGTTCTGGCCATTAAATTTTTTTTTTTTTTTTTGCATTATACTGAAAGGCAAATCAGTGACTCCAAATCAGTGAATATTGCATGGGCTTAAAGACATACTTACATACTAAATGGACACATCAACCTTCTAGCATTATATTGATCCACATTTTTGGAAACAACAGCTTTAAACAATTAGAGAGATTCCAGTCTCTGAGATGTAAGTAGCAAAACTGCACATCTCCAGAAACCTGCCAATGCGCTTCCCTGGTTGGTTCATAAAAGACATCAGGTTTCATCTCAAGTCATTTGTGCTATGTGGACCCACAAATCAAGGTAGCATTTCATTGCATGTGTAGTAACCAAGTGGAATTGTTGCCACTGTTGTTTTATAACACTTGGGGAGGGGAGTCCTCTGCTGCAATAACAAGCAGAGGACCAACCTGCCACTCCCAGGTTTGACACCACGCTAACTGTTTTTCTGACTGAAGAAAAGTCTGATCCTATACCTACACTACCCCTGAACAAGCCAGAGGAGATTCTGCAGCACAACACAAGATGTTTCCTCATCCCAGATGCATCAGAATCACCTACCGTGATTTAAAGGACAACATCACAGGCATGGTTTTTATTTTCTTTCAGTGTCATGCATGATATTCACTCAGGGTCCTGCTTTCAATATATGCTGAAAATTGCCATTTTAGTGAACATAAGATTCTTGTCAGTAAGATCATTTTCTAGAATATTCACAGTAACTACACACAACTGAAGTCAATTAATTAATGTGGTTGAGCATGTGGACAATATTTTGCAGTATTTGTCCAGCTTTATTCATGAATATGCAAAAAAAAAGGGGGGAGATTTAATTGAAACTGTTTTGCAACCTTAACTACCACGGGTGCACCTACTATTGTATAATAAACCAGTGTAACATTTCAAGCATAACAAATTTGCAATGGGTACCACCGGGTACTTGTCATAATAAACCAATGTAAAAGTTCATCCATCACAATTTGCTCTAGGCTAAAAATGTGTGCACAGTTTGTGAGCACACCACGGAAGCACAATGGCAGATTTTTTGGGGAAGGCTGATTTCATTGTTCCTAGTCTCTGAGATTAGTCATGCAATCTAAAGATGTTCTAGAGAAAGACCGAGAACATCCACCACACATGCAAGACATTTCATTCCATAAGGCTCACGCAGGAACTTCTTAGACACGTAGCCAACAAGCGGTAGGTGGTCTTCTGAATAATAAGGAGAACGTATGTTAAAACAGCACATGCTTGAAAAACATTTTTATGACAGTTAAAAGATGCATTTAAAAAATACGATAGGTTCAGTATGTGCATGCAGTATTCACATCTATGGATACAGGAAGATAATAAATGCCGCATATTGTAATAGCATAAACTTCTCACTCAACCGAAACTGCCCAAGCACAGAAGCGGTTGCTAAGTCTGCATGTTTGTTAAATCAAAACAGGAAAGGAAATATCAATCAAACATGTTAACCAAGCTTCACAGTAGCTCCACCAGCACTTACAAATATTAAGCTGTTTGGTATAAAATGCTCATCCCTGTTTATAGCTACAGTAATCAAAAGAGAATGGATCCGTAATCATGAAAAGTCACAAAATAGAAGATGATGCAACTACATTGCCAAATATACTAATTCCGTTTGTAAATGTAATTGTATTTGTTACATAGTTGAAGAAAACTTAGAGAGAGTAGTTAAAATTCAACTAAAAGACAAAATTATGGTAGTTAAATTCTGGACTAGATTTCTGGAAGCCATGAGAAAAATCTGAATTCACAATTGAAAAATAAATCTGAAGATTCTTCCACACATATGGGTTAAAGGTTCAAACAAGCTATTGAACCCAATCTGTTTTTAATTGTCACAACAGATGTTCTTTACAATGGCTGTCATAAAGTCAATTCTTTTGACCTTTCAGAGCGAAGTATAACTAAGCAAACCAGTGAAAGGTCTTCTAAATAAGATATTTTATTTTCAAAGGTCTGAACTAAACTGCTTTATGCAGATGCCACCCAACAGATATGTCCTCGAATAATCTTTACAGTCATTAATAGTTTCTATTTGTACTAGTGCTGCCATAATGGTAATTTGACAACAAAATCCATCCGAAACTATTACCAACACCCTCCAGGATTCAACAAAACTTGATACAATTGTGCTAGTGCTCATCACAGATTCCAAAATAAATACAACTAGCGTGGCCTGGACCACTTGACAAGCCATCGGTAACAACAGCCAACAAAAAAGTAACAGGGTCTGCATTTGTCTAACGTTCTAATACATATCTCAGCCACACTATACAAAATAAACATGTGATCAGGTAACAAAGACAAAGAGAAATTTGCTGTTCAAAAGCCTTCTGAGTAAATAATGTCCATATCATTTGACAACAAGAAGAAAGTTTTAGAAATACAGTTTATTTTAGCTTTTCACCAGAATCCCAGTGAAGTTCAAAAAGCACGAGCAGATAACTTCAAAACAGTACAGCTACGTTCTCAGTGCTAATAAATGTCTGAGGGAAAGAGTCTATGCTAATGAATAGCCTCAGTCATTTTTATGAAGTCCCACTGAAATTTGATTTACATGTCTGTCCTGTAAAGTTCCTGACCCCATTTCTAAAGACAAAACAAAATATGTGCTGCACAGCAAGTAGAAGATGACTGAAGTTTCCATGGAGTCAAAAAAATAATGCAATGCTTTAATCAAAGCATTAGGGATTCATTTGACAATAAAAGTGTGCCGAGGAACGAGTTAATGGGCTGTGTTTACAAGTATTTCATTATCACTAGGTCACTCGCATGCTTATTTGTACACACTTCAAACTCAATGTTAATTTTAGTTGGACATAAATGGTCTTGCTGGACTCATCCCAGGCCATTATTGCAGCTAGGGTTGCCAACTCTGACTGAATCTATTCTGGGAGATTTTTTTTTTCTAACATGACAATGTCATTTTCTTAAAATATCCTATTAAAATCTCCCAGATTGCTTTCAATAGTCCCTGGGAGATCGATGCCAATTCCAGGAGACTCCCCGCAAATCCTGGAAGGATGGCAAACCTAACTGCAAAAAGAAAAGGAGTACTTGTGGCACCTTAGAGACTAACCAATTTATTTGAGCATGAGCTTTCGTGAGCTACAGCTCACTTCATCGGGTGAGCTGTAGCTCACGAAAGCTCATGCTCAAATAAATTGGTTAGTCTCTAAGGTGCCACAAGTACTCCTTTTCTTTTTGCGAATACAGACTAACACGGCTGTTACTCTGAAACCTAACTGCAGCACACTCATTGAGTTGACTTACCTTATTCACTGTTTGTGAATTACTGGAAGGGAGGAAGCAATGAGTGTGCCTTGAAGAGACCTCCCTGTATCTCTCTTGCTGTGACTCAGCTAGTTTGTTTGGTGAAGTCCCATTATAAACTGCCAGAAGGAGTCGTTTGGTCCGTATAGGTGGCAGGATCTGGTAGAAAAGATAGACACCCACCACCAGCACCAGAAGGAAGGGGCGAGGGCGACACAGCCTGAGGCGAGAGAGAATCTGCCCACAAACCATGACCACTTTGCCTTTTTCACTTTGCCCTTTTCCACATCACAGGAACATTCGCAGCAGCCACTTTCCATCGGCACGAAAAAGACAAAGGAGTGTTTTTCCACAACTAACTCAAGTTCTTCCCATTCCTGATGCTGAACTCCCCCATGGTGCCGAACAAGAAGTCATAGGTTCAAAAGGCAGAAAGCGCTCCAAAGAGCTCTTCATAAAGGTTACAGGAATAGAATCCAACCTGTGCAAAACACAAACAAACAAATAGCAATTATCGTCTCACTAATGAGCCAGACTTAGCCTTTCTCCAATGCATAGTTTGCAGAACAGACCGATGTGCAAACAGTAGAGGAGCAGAAATCTTTACTCCAGCTCTGCAGAAGAAACTACAGGCACACAATAGAATCCAAGGAAGCAAGAAGTAAAGCTTAATATATGCCTTGCATGGCTGAAGACTGTCCAGGTTTTGCCAGCAATCATTTGATTTTTTTTCCTATTACATTTTCAATCCCCACTTTGTTTTTACTGTTTCCTTCATTCCAGTCCTTTTTAAATTGCCCTTTTCCTGTCAGCATGCACCGCTCTCAGTGAACATTTATCTGGAATCTGACAGACTATGAAGACTTTCCTTTGGGTTTGTTTTGTTCCGATTTGAGTTCAAAGTTATGTTTACTTACTCAGTTGTTATCCTGACAGAAGTTTTCCATTCTCCCCGAATGGATTGCTGATTAAAACCACTTGGAACAACTCAGCTTTATGACTCCAGCTCATCTCAGATAGACAGACAGACATACACACAGTCCTGCATACACCATCTGAACTCAGTTGGGCCACAGACATCATATAAAGAAAGGCTGGACTGCATAGGGGGTGGGGCTAACTTCACTCAGCTCTGAAGAGGCACAGATTGGGAACTGGAAAAGCAATGTTAGATCTGAATCAGAAACAAGAAGTGTCCCTGCTCATATAAAATGTGTATTTCCAAATTACAGTCACACAACAGTTATTTAAAAGTCTTCTGTTACTGTAACAACTCAGATTGAAAAGAGCCTTGCAGGTAGGGGAGAATCCAACCATCACATGCAGCATTTGAATCCAATTTTACAAACATATTGTTAACATTTCCATGAGCTAGACTTACTTGTGTCTATCACTTCCAGCACTGCCATGGCAGTATGTGGTAACCTCAGTGGTGTACAGTGTATTTAATATCACTGCATGAAAATGTCCCCTATTTAACAGTAAAGAAGGAAAGAAAGGAAGACAGCCAGAAGGATTCCAAGTAAAGCATTCAGTATCTCAGCTACAGAAGTGCCTGGTTACTACTTTCCTCTGCTGACATAAGACAAGGGCTGAACAGACTCAAACAGTTTAGCGGCTCAGCATGATCATCACAAACCTAAGCTGCTTATATGATAACGTTCCTTTTGCTAAAAATATTTGTATATATATCCCATGCACTTTGTTCTGTATTCTTAACTGTATATGAAAAAAAGATACAAGGACATTCTCAGGACCCAGACTCTCTCATATATATGAAAAATGAGAGTCAGTCTGTTATACAGAACAGCAATCCCACTTCTCTAGTATCTTACTGAGATTAGCCCTTTGTGCAGCTGTGGGAAGTGATGTTTATACTTGTGTCTGAAGTAGTTGTGTTTATTTGGATTTGGAGTCTATTTTTTCTAATGCCCGAGTTAAAGCAATCACTTTGCATATTAAAAAATGCCATACAAGCAAACTTAAAAACTGATGTCTCTGGTTTATTTCTTAATCACAGCAATTCCTGTAATATTTACTGCATGGTGTGTTGACTGTATGTGAATTTTTAGTCTCATTTCTGGCATTAAAATCATACAAATTGTCTTAAATTGATTCCCAGGTTCAAGAACAAGAAAAGGATTCTAAAGGTCATCCACACTCTCCACCGGAGAAAGTATTCGCTCCATACAGAGAACACCCTTCCGTTCACCAGGGAAACGCAGGGGTACTCAAAGTTCCTAATGTCAGTTCCAGTGCATTGCTGCAGTATATCACTACAGCCTCAGATCCTCAGCCACTCCTCCAGATGCCTTATTCCACTCCAGCAAAAGTGCTGGAAAGCCAGTGAATCCATCTAGCTGGGGATTGTCCTTGCATAGGAGAAACCCTGAGTGCCCTAGACTTGGCCCCAGGCTCTCAAAGTTCTTCTGTGCCTTCCTCCTCCAGCTGCACTCAGCGCACGGTGGATGCAGACTAAGAACCTGGGTGCTTGTCTTCTTACAGCATTTCCAGAAATGCAAGACCACTAGATTTCACAGTAGTTATAAGATCCCAGCAGCAGGAACAAAATGCCACCCTTGATGCACTGTTCATTTTTCTCTCCCATCCCCATCTCCGTGCCTTTTTTCCATGTTGCCCCTCTATACAGAATCCTGGTTAGCAATATTACCAACCCTAAAAGTTCAACAATCATGAGTCAGGCCCTAGAAATTGTGAGATTTTTTTTAATCTCATTTTTTGGTCTGTCTTTTGATTTTTTTGAACCCACCCCCAGCTCTCCCAAATGTTGCCAGCTCTCCCAAATGTATGGAGTAAGGTGATTTCAGCCCCTGCTGCAGGTTTTCTCATGGGAGGACCCATCTGTGATCAAATGACAATGATCTGTATAAAATGCTGAGGCAGGGCTTCCAGCTTCACCCCAAAATTCTAATGAATTAATTCTGCGTCATCCCTACTCCCCAAACCCCATATCTGCCTGACCCTCAGCCCAGCAATTATGCACTCTCCCCACCCCCACAACATTTCTGCCCTCCCCATCTCCCTCTCCCCCAGCCCATTAATTAAATATCCACCCCTCCCAGCAACTCTCTACCTCTCAGTGCACCTCTGCTCCTCCAGGTGTTCTTCACTCCTCTCTTCCAGGCTTGGTAGGGGGGACAACTTCAGGGGTTGCTCATTCCCTCTCCCCTTTCCCAGGTATGGTGTTGCAATGATGGGGACAGGGAAGAGCAGAGAACCGATTGGACCACTCCACCTCCTGGATTGTGCTGTGGAGCAGTTCTCTGGCAATCTACTCTGTCCACCTGCAGCAAGGAGTGGGCTAGCATCTCCAGTATTTCTCTCTATATTTTTTGTAGTTTCCTTCCCAGAGAAGAGCTCGAGTACCTGCCTCTTGTGCGGCTCAGGGCAATCTCAACCAGCAGCAGAATGGAACTAACATGATTCTTCTTATTTTTACAGCTGCCCACAGGATTCCAGCTCCACGCCATGGGCCTGGTTCTCATCTTGTTTATTTCTTTGATTTTTTACACTTCACAGATTACACTGACATAAATGTAAATTATGGGTAATTCCACTGGAGTCATACAGGGGAGTATCAATAACAGGGGTAAGTACGATCAGAATCAGGCCTTGAGAGGCCAAAAATTACAAGCTTTATTTTATTATATATATGTCAAGGAGTGTACTACCTGCCCCACCCCCTTAAGTGGCAGCCTGGGCTGTAATCAAGGACTCCCTGCCCCACCCTAGGGCTGGGCTGTATAAACAGAAAGAAACTAGCTGAGCAAGAGAGAGGGGAGTAGAAGCCATGCAGGGGGTAGTTTTTGCCTCTCAGGCTAGTCTCCTACAATCTAACTAGAGACTTTGTGAACTTTAAGTCTGGGAGCTGAACCAGAGTCCAGAGGTGAGGTCCTTATGAACTGCATATTATAGTTGCTTCTGTCCTGAAACTCTATTAAAAGGGAATGTGCTGTTTGTTAGTGTGTATTGGCTTCTTCTTGTCCTGGGCTGTTAAACTGAACCCGTTGCTACTCCAACTAGGGGAAGTTAAGGTGGGTATTGCTCACAGTGCCACATGGGGCTGCTAGCGGTTGCCCACAGTTTTACAACATAGTATATAAATAAAACCAGAGGTCATATCAGATCGGAAATTAGAAGACAGATTATTTATATGTACACCCACACATATGTAATGTCCAGTTTCCAAACTCTTAGCAAGAAGCTAACCCCAACCCCTACCATTTTGATGTTGAAAACTTGGTCAACTGTAGACAGAAGCTGGAGCTGCTGTTCCACTTAGTATGGGCAGTTCCCTCCTGCTACAGCTCCTATTGCACCTGGGCTGGCTCCCTCTCTCTTCCTCCTCACCCCCCCCCTTCACCAAGGATTTTCTGCTGTTTGCTCCCCCCTCCAGCAGCAGTCTCTTTTCCTCCTCTGTAGTGAGTGGACAGCTCAGATTTCCTGGACCTAGGGGCCTCTGCAGCCAAAATCTGCCAGCAGTGGCCCCTCGTGGCCACAGCAGGAATTCCACCCACATCTAGTTCAGCTTGAAATCGGAAGCCAAGAGTAACAGATAACAATTAAGGGAAAAATCACAGGCATACTAACAATTAACAAGAATTGGCAGCAGTGGGATTGGGATTCTGAAAAGACTTAGCTAGGGTTCCAGATGGGCACAGGGATCTGGCTATACTGGACAGTTGCACGCTCAGGTATTTAGGCGCTTACCTGCTTACTTTTACTCATGTGAGTAGTCTAACTTCACGTGAATCAAGTTAAGCACATGCGTAAGTGCTTGCAGGATTGGGCCTTAGTCATTAATAACAGCTCATTTCCAGCAATGAATGTTTCACCATGCCAAAACTGCTAGGGAGATAATAAGTTTGAAGACATGTTCACAACTCTTTTTCAGAACAACTAGGATAACAATCATTTAAGTGAAAAAGGGGCTGTAGTTACTAAAATTACCAGCAAATAATATGTAAAATGCATTGATTATTGAGAATTATTTTACAACAAAGTTTATACACTCTTAATTCACTAGAATGACAGACTTATACACCATTTTCATTTTAAAAGTAATAGATAAATAGAAGATTTTTTTAAAAGCAATTTTATATGGTCAACTCATGAATTCATTCTCTTATTTAAGAACACAAGTAATTCTAAGGGCCAGAACCTCTTTCTATTGAAATCATTGACAAAATTCCCACTAACTTCAACAAGAGCAGGATTGGGCCATAAATCGATACATACTGCATAAAAGCTTTGTAAACAAGAAAACATTAGCAATACTGCATACATTTAAGAAATGTATTCATTAATGGTGCTGGAGACAGCTGTCAAGCCACATACTTGATTTTCACTTTGACCATAAGCCAATTCCTGCAAAAGTTACACTTGCATGTTGGTTTTATTCCTTTTTATAGCCCCATTATGCACAGTGAACAGGACTATACAAGGGAGCTTCTGGTTGCAGGGTTGGGCCTTTAAACAAGACTGAGTTGCCCTCAGGGGTGCCATTTAAGACAATATGAGCAACACATTACATTATTGCTCTGCCTGCAGAAAGATTTGACATATGACTAGAAAAATTAAGGTTATTTACCTGTAACTGGTGTCTTTTGAGATGATCTCTGCATATACAGACTCATGAGGTTGTGCAGGCTGGTGCAGCCTAGACAGTAGAATCTTCTCTAAGCAGTGCCCGTTGGAGCGCTCACATCCTCCCACTTCTGCCTTTCCCCTCATATTCCTGAATGTTCTGAGGGCAAGGCTCTAAATGGGGACATGGTGCCCTTGGACACATTAGTTCCTTCTACCACTGCCTCAGATATACTGCCCCTTTACCTCTGCCCCCAGGCTATAAGAAAGAGGGGAAGGTGGGCAGGGAGTGAGAATGTGCAGAGTCCATCTCAAAGCACTTTGGTTATGGGTGAATAACCTTAATTTCTTCCTTGATTGTCCTCTGCATATTCCCACTCTTGGAACAGTTTAGCAACAAGCTCTCCAAAATGGACAGTGGGACTCAGCATCCCAATTAGTCATTGAAGTAATGCCCTGCCAAACTGGGTGCCTATTCTAGATGCCTGATCTAATGTGTAATGTTTCCTAAATTTATGCCCAGATCTCCATGTGGCAGCCTTACAGACATGTCCCAGTTCCAAAAGTATAAGACAAGCCAAGGACAGAGCCATTGTCCTAGTAGAATATGATCTGGTACCAGAAGGGGGAGAGACAGTTGCTAATTTGTATGTTATCTGAATACACTGTTTAACCCATCTAGAAATGGTTTGTGAGGATACCACCTGGCCCTTACAATTGTCTCTGTAGGAGGAAAAAAAATGTAAGTAAATATGTGAAATCTCTTAGTTCTCCATTCAGATAATAAGCGAGAGTTCTCTTAGCATCTAAAATGTGTAAACTCAATTCACCCATGTTACTGTAGGAGAAAGGGAAGAACTGGTCAATTTATGGTTTGATTAACATGAAAGTCTGTTACTATTTAGATAAAAACCTTGGGTTATGCTTAAGTACAACTTTATCTTTATGCAAAATAGCAAAAGGCAGGTCCAGCCATGACAGTGTATAATTCGCCAACTCACCTAGCTGGAGGTATAGCTATTAAAAAGCAGATTTATAACAGGAAAATAAAGAGCTCAAAATATGACTTCACCAATTGTGCTAAGACTAAATAGATATCCCATGATGGAACCAGGTCGTTTACAGGTGGGCACAAGTTGGAAAGCCCTTTCATAATTTTTATTTTACCATACTATATGAGAATACAGATTTATTATCTATCAGAACACAATATGCTGATATAGCCACTAAATGAACCCTCAGTGAGGAGATTGATAGGCCCTCAGTCTTTAAACGAAGTAAGTATTCCAGAAGATGCTGAATTGGTGCCACACTGTTCAGGTTTGTTATGCATCCAAATCACAACCCTCAACCATTTCAGTTGGTAACATCTTCTGGTTGATTTTTTCTTAGAATTAATTAGTATGTTCTGCACTTCTAAAAGACAAAGATCTTTCAAGGTCCATTCAAGTCCTACAGCCCACACTGCCAGATGTAGAGACAGGAGATTTGGATAATAAATCTTGCCCTGTTGCTGCAACAGTCAATCCTGTAATATTGGAATCATCCTGTAACAGCTGAAGTAGGTTTGTATGCCACTGTTTTGTCAGCCACGTTAGAGCAACTAAAATCATTCTGATTCCATCCTGTTTTAATTTTCTCACTACCCGTTCTGTCAATGAAAAGGAGAAGAAAGCATACAGCAGGCTCTTACCTCAATTCAGTAGAAACACATCCAAGGTGGATTGGGTGTCCCTTTCTTCTCTGAAACAGAAATGGCAATGCTGTGACTGTAGCAATTAAGTCTATGTCTAGAGATCTCCAACAGTTGAAGATATTGGGTATTACTTCCTCCTTTCTCAACCACTCGTGTAACTGTGTCGCATCTCTGCTCAGTTTCTCCACCAGGTCATTGTCCTTTCCTGACAGGTGAAGGGCTACTGGATGAATGTCATGTTGATTTCCCACAACTTGATTTCTCTGGTACACACCTGGGACAGATAAACTCCTCCCTACTTGTCCATACATTTTTCAACCTGGATTGTTAAGCACACTAGACAGTAATGGACTCTTGATTTCAAAGATGCAGAAGGGAAGTTCAGTTCCATCTACTTCCTTTCACAACAGCTTAAAAGTGGTGAACCCTGTAATGGATTGGATCACAGAAGACCCCTTGGGAACTGCCCACTGATGTGCTGAGACTACCCCGAGCCTGTTTCCCCTGGCAGCTTGAGACTTCAGAACCCTGCCTGGTTTGAGTCAGACATGCTAGCCTGCTGCAAACCCAGACCCAGGTCTGAACCATGTCCCATAAAAGCTGCAGGCTTAACTGAAAACAGCTTAAGAAGTGCTCCTGTCTGCAACACTTAGATGCCCAGCTCCCAATGGGGTCCAAACCCTAAATAAATCTGTTTTACCCTGTATAAAGCTTATACAGGGTAAACTCATAAATTGTTCACCCTCTATAACACTGATAGAGAAATATGCACAGCTGTTTGCCTCCCCCCTCCCCTCAGGTATTAATACATACTCTGGGTTAATTCATAAGTAAAAAGTGATTTTATTAAATACAGAAAGTAGGATTTAAGTGGTTCCAAGTAATAACAGACAGAACAAAGTATATTACCAAACAAAATAAAACAAAACACCCAAGTCTATGCTTAATACAGTAAGAAAACTGAATACAGATAAAATCTCACCCTTAGAGATGTTTCAATAAGCTTCTATCACAGACTGGATGCCTTCCTCATCTGGTCACAATTCTTTCCCCGGTACAGCCCTTGTTCCAGCTCAGATAGTACCTAGGGGATTTCTCAGGACTGCAGCCCCCTTTGTTCTGTTCCACTCCCTTATATATCTTTTGCACAAGGCAGGAATCCTTTGTTCCTCTCTGGGTTCCTACCCCTCCTTCTAAATGGAAAAGCACCAGGTTTAAGATGGGTTTCAGTACCAGGTGACATGATCACATGTCCTGTGAGACCCCAAGCCTTCATTCCTCCCAGCCTGACTCACAGGAAGGCCTGCAAGCAAACAGAGCCATCCACAGTCAATTGTCCTGGCTTATGGGAGCCATCAAGATTTCAAACCACCATTAATGGCCCACACTTTGCATAGCTACAATAGGTCCTCAGAGTTATATTTCATATTTTTAGTTTCAGAAACAAGACTGATACATACATACAAATAGGATGACCACACTCAGTAGATTATAAGCTTTGTAATGATACCTTACAAGAGACCTTTTGCATGAAGCGTATTCTAGTTACATTATATTCACACTCATTAGCATATTTTCCTAAAATCATATAGAGTGCAACGTCACAAACCCACTAACCAACACAGGTTCAAACTCCTTTGTTACAAAGGGAAATGACTAAAGATGATTTAGTTGCATTATGCAGAGTTTGTACTACTGAAAGCCCTATGGCCAGAAGCTCCGGATGGGAAAGAACTCTCTACATTCTTTATTGGCAAAAGGGGAAAAGTGTTGCTGTAGAGAACTTCATGTGCATAGGCTACCTACCCCCCACGATTCCTCTAGTGACACTTTGGAAATCACCATAACTATACGGTAACTGGGATTTGTTGGGAGTAGTGGGTCTCACCCTTTCTTCTTTGAGTGCTTGCTCATGTCGATTCCAAGTAGGTGACTCCCAAGCAGTTCCCAGGAGGAGGGGTCAGAGACCGTAGCACTCTCTGCCAAATGCGGCATCGTATTTAGCCTGCTGGGAATGGTGTAGTGCGACATAAAGGTGTGGATCAACTAACACGTTACTGTCCTGCAGATGTCTTGAATGGGGACCTGCACCAGGAATGCTGCCGAGGAAGCCTGCGCTCTTGTGGAGTGCGCAGTCAATGCTGGGACAGGTATTTTTGCCAGATCATAGACACCCTGATACAGGCCGTGATCCATGACAAGATCCTTTGGGATGACACTGGGAGCCCCCTCATCTGCTCAGCAATTGCAATGCAGACCCATGTTGATTTTCGAAACGGCTTTGTCTGCTCAAGGTAAAAAGCCAATGCTTGTCTGACATCCAGGGAGCGGAGCACCTGTTCCCAGTTACTAGCATGTGGCTTAGGGAAGAACACTGGAAGAAACATGTCCTAATTCATGTGGAATTGCCAAACTATCTTTGGGAGGAAAGCTGGGCATGGCTGCAACTATACCTTGCCCTTGTAAAACGCAGTCTAAGGGGTCTTGGACGTCAAAGCCTTAAGCTCAGACATCCTCCTGGCTGAAGTTATAGCCACCAGGAATGCCACTTTCCAGGAAAGGTAAAGGAGAAAGCATACTGCTAGGGACTCAAAAGCGGGGCCTATCAGTCTTGAGAACACCACTGGGGAATTGGCTGTCTTATTTGAGTGTACAGTCTATCTAGTCCTTTGAGGAAGTGGCCAACCATGAGGTTAGCGAATACTGACTGGGGCCAGCAGAACCAGGATGGAAAGCTGAGATGGCAGCCAGGTGCACCTTTATTGATGACACCACCAGGCCTTGCTGTTTCAGGTGCAGTAAATAGTCCAGGATGAAAGGAATCAATGACTAACAGCGGAGTGTCCTTTTGCAGTGACCAAATTGAGAATCTCTTCCATTTAGCCAGATAAGTGGCTCAAGTGGATGGTTTCCTACTGCCAAGGAGAACCTCCCTAATGAAGTCTGAGCATGTGAGCTCCAAAGAATTTAGCCAAAGAGTTTCCATGCTATGAGGTGGAGAGACTCTAGATTGGGATGCTGGAGGCGACTGTCGTCCTGCAGGATCAAGTCTGGGACCAGGGGTAGTGTTATAGGCGTGTAATGACAGCTCTAGAAGCATGGTGTTGACGTGGCTAGGCTGACGTGAGTTGACGTGGCTAGGCTGCTGCTATCAAGATCATTAATGCTCCCTCCCTTCAGACCTTCATCAGAACCAGATGTATGAGCGGGAAGGGTGGGAATGCATACAGCAGATGCCCTTTCCAAGGAAGGAGAAAAGCATCTGGAAGTGAGCCTGGGCTATGATTCAGGAAGGAACAGAACTGCTGACGCTTCCTGTTGCACTGTGTCATGAACAAAAGTGGGAAATCTCCACCTTTGCAAGATGCTGATCATGACATCTGGGAGGAGGGACAACTCGTGGTTGTGATTGAGCGGAGCTGATTGACAGCCCTGAAGGTGCGATGCCTGCAGAGGTATGCAGTGGGCAATGCAGAAGTCCCACAGCTTGAGGGCTTCCTGACACAGGGGAGAGGAGCGAACACCACCCTGTCTGTTTATACAGAACATCACTGTTGTATTGTCTGTCAATACAGATACACATCTGTCCTCCAGATGGGTCTGAAATGTCTGGCAGGCAACGCAAACTGCACGTAACTCCCTGACATTGATGTGCAGCAAAAGTTCTGCTTGGGACCAGAGACCTTGAATTCTGATTCTTCCTAAGTGCACCCCCCAACCAATTGCCAACACACCTGTTACTAGAGACAGTGAGCGTTGGGGCCCAGAGAAAGGCATTCCCGCACACACCACTTGCTGGTTGAGCTACCACCGGAGGGACTCGATAACTGGAGAAGTGAGTGTGATCAATTTGTCTAGGTGGTCTTGGTTTGGCCTATATACCAATGCTAGCCAAGCTTGAAGGGGTCGGAGCTTCAGCCTGGCATGCTGCACTACATACGCACAAGCAGCCATATGGCCGAGCAGCTTCAGGCAATTTTGTGCTGTAGTAGTGGAGTATCGCCTGAGTTTCTCTATGATGGCACCCATGGCAAAAAGCAAGTTTCCAGAAGGAATGCCCTGGCTTGACCAGAGTCTAGGAGAGCTCCGATGAACTCTATCCTCTGAGCAGGGGTTAGGATTGATTTCATCATGTTCAGTATCAGCCTGATCCTGTTGAACATCATCCGAACTAGGCTCATGTGGTCCTCCACTGGGCCTTGGAGAGGCCTTTGATTAGCCCAGGGGTGGCCAACCTGTGGCTTCGGGGCCACATGCAGCCCTTGCAGAAGTTAATATGTGGCTCCTTGTATAGGCACCGACTCCAGGGCTGGAGCTACAGGTGCCAACTTTCCAATGTGCTGGGGGGGGGGGGGGTGCTCACTGCTCAACCCCTGGCTCTGCCACAGGTCCAGCCCCCTCTGCACCCCCTCCTCTGAGCCTGCCGTGCCCTGGCTCCTCTTCCTCCACCCCCAGAGCCTCCTGAATGCCACGAAACAGTTGATGTGGAGGTGCTGATCGGCGGGGCTGCCAGGTGGTGGGAGGCACTGGGAGCAGGGTGGGGAAGCTGATGGGGGGCTGCTGATATATTACTGTGGCTCTCTGGCAATGTACATTGGTAAATTCTGGCTCCTTCTCGGGCTCACGTTGCCCACCCCTGGATTAGCCAATCATCTAGGTACGGGAATACTTGCACCTGTAAACTGATAGTGAGTAAACAGTAAACCTGTAAACTGATAGTGAGTGTTGTTGACCATGAAGTGGAGGAACCGTCTGTGGGACGGGACTATGGACATGTGAAAGTATACATCCTTCAAGTTGAGTGCAGCGTACCAGTCCCCTGGATCCAGGGAGAGGAAATGGAAGCCAGGGAGACCATGTGGAACTTTAACTTCTTCATCAAACTGTTGAGGTTTCGCAGGTCTATAATAGGTCTGAGCCAACCCTTGGCCTTTGGGATTAGGAAATACTGGGAATAGAACTGCCTGCCCCTGAACTCCAGAGGGACCTCCTCTACTGCTCCAAGTTGTAGGAGTGTTTGCACCTCCTGCATAAGAAGTTGGCCGTGAGAAGGGTCCCTGAACAGGGACGGGGAAGAAGGGTGGGAAGGCAGGAGTGAACAGAATTGGAGAGAATATTCTACCGTGCTCAAGACCCATTGGTCTGAGGTGATTTGTGCTCAAGCATAGTAGAAATGGGATAGATGATTCACAAAGGGAGGGGAAGGATCCAGGATTTGGACTGCTCCGTCACCCCCAGGCGCACCCTCAAAAGTTTGGCTCGGAGCTGAGGGCTGCTTCGCTGAAACATGGCTCTGGTTAGAGGAGGAACTGAGAGGATCTCCGTCTATTACTCCTGCCCCACTTCCTACTATAGACCTGTGTAGGGGGAGCAGGGTAGAAGTGGGGGGTAGGCTGTGGCTTAAAATGTTTCCTCTGGAGGGCTGGTGTATGAAGTCCCAGGGACTTCAGTGGTGCCCATGAGTCTTTAAGGCTGTGGAGCTTAGAGTCGGTTTGCTCTGAGAAAAGTCCTGAGCCACTGAAAGACGAGTCTTGGAATTTTCTGCTGGACTTTGTGCAGGAGCCCCAACACCTGAAGCCATGAGCGCCTTCTTATAGCCATGGCTGTTGACATAGTTCAGATTGCCGAGTCGTCTGAATCTAGGGAGGCCTGTAAGGAGATCCTCGCAACCACCTTGTCTTCCTCAAGAACAGCAGCACACTCTGAGCAAGAGTCCACCGGAAGCAGCTCCTTGAATTTGGACGTGTTCCAAGAGTTAAAACTGTAGTAGCTGAGGATTACCTGCTGGTTGGCAATGTGAAGTTGGAGCCACCCAGTAGAATACACCTTCTTACCAAAGAGATCCAGCTTCTTCGCCTCCTTGGACTTAAGAGTAGGTCCCGGTTGCCCTTGCCTTTCCTTTTCATTGGCAGCCACCACAACACAGAGTGCTGGGCTGAGGATGAGAAAACAGGTACTCATACCCTTTTGAAGGCACAAAATACTTCCTCTCCACCTCTTTGGCCGTGTGGGGAAGACTGTTGGGCATTTGCCACAATGCTTTAGTAGTGTTCTGGATGGTCTTAATGAGGGGCAAAGCCACCCTCAATGGACCTTCAGGCACCAGAATGTCGACCACGGGGTTCGTCTACTCCGACACCTCCTCTTCCTGCATGCCCAAATTCTAAGCCTCCCTTCTGAGTAACTCCTGGTGGGTTCTGTTGTCCACGGCTGGCAGCGGGGTGGATGTGCCCATCACTGCTTCATCAGGGGAGGATGAGGAGGATGCCTGCAGAGATCCCCCTGTGCCAACATGTCTTGCATGGTGTCTGGACTGGTGCCGGCTTCTGGGCCCATGTTAATCTCAGTGCTGGCCTCAGTGCCGGGTCCCATTGTGGTCTCAGTGCTGGCCTGTGTGCCCATCTCGTGGCCTCACAGAGGTTCCTGGGCTACAGATGATGATGGAGGGGTCCAGGCCTCCAATACCACAACAATGATCTGGACCCTGGCTCTTGGGCTTGCTGGTAGGCCCACGGGGTCCAGAAGGGCCATTGAGCTGGCACCTGCCACTGTCGTGGCCATGGGATCATAGGCAATGGCTGCCCTTCCTTGTCTGGAGTGGTGCCAAGAACGGTGCCTAGAGGCATACAACTCCACCTCCAAGTCCAATGAGGACTCCAACCTCAGCAACGCAGAGCAAGACAGTGCTGGGGAGCGGTGCTAAGGTGAGGGTGAGCGATGCCACATCATCACTGGCTTGCCCTTAGAAGGCACGGTGCTGGTGCTCGTGCAGGGGACTGAACTGTCATCACTATATGGTCCCTGACTGCCTCAAAGGTGTCCAGCGTGGAGGGAAGGTCTAAGTCCTCTTCCCGAGACTCCCTCACCAGGGAGTCCACTAGAACCGGACTTGACGGACCTCCCTGTGAGGCTGGAGTCAACAGTGCCAGCTGAGTCTGAGCCGCAGCAGGGTGTCCTGATGTGGGATGCACCCTGCTGGTGCCTCCTTGCTTCACTGCTCTAGTGGGAGAGCGACCTCTGACAGTCTTCTTTTTCTTGTGTGACACTGGTGAATGGGAGAGGTGCCTGGCAATCACACTGGAGAGTGGGCTGGGGAGTGGTGCTGCTGAGGGTACCTGGAGCCCAAGTCCTTTCTCAGAGCTGCAGCCTCTCTTACTAAAGCCGATGTGCTCTGCACCAAAGTGCTGGGCTTGGGGTCGGATGCCACCTATGCCAGCGGTGGACCAAAGGCTGATTCCATGAGGAGCAATTTTAGCCTAAAGTCCCTCTCTTTCTTAGTCCTTGGGCAGAAGTCTCTGTCGATTTTGCACTTCTCAGTCTGATGGGCTTCCCAAGCAAGAATCGTGTGGGTCTCCCTTTGGCAAAGGCTTCAGACAGGACCCACATGGTTTGAACCCCTGAGACCAAGGCATGACCCGGTCAGTGAAAACGTGGTGGGGGAACCCTCAACTAAAACTTATCTTAATTATGAATTACTGAAAACTAATACTAAGTTTTTAACTATTTACAGAGTCAACAAGTCCACTAGGGGTTTGGCTTGCCATAGCAAGAGAATAGAGCTGCTCCAACGACCATCACTGGTGGTAAGAAGGAACTGAAGAGGCGGTGGGTCGGCAAGGACCTATATACACCGCCATGAAGGTGCAACTTCAGGGGGCTCCACAGCCAACCTGACAGGTACCACTAGGGAAAATAATCTTTGGACGACTGTGCATGCAGCACGCACAGACCTACTTGGAATCAACACGAGCAAGCACTCGAAGAACAGAAGCATCTCATGCCCTCTACTGGCATTTATATTACTTCAGCTCTTAAGGTATCTTTTTCTATGTGAATATCTCCATGCTACATGTCTCCTCTCTCCCTTCTTGCATCCACTTCCTTCCTTCCCTCTTCTACCAGAGAAAAACATTATGGCCTCTGTTATCATACCTTCCGCGCAAGCCCTTTTCTATACCCTTTCCCCAACACCAATATTCCTCTCATGGTCTTTCCTTCCTGTTGTCTCAGTGGATAGCTCCATATCTCTTAAGCTCATAAACCCAAAGTTTTCTTAGTAGCATCTCATCTCCCAATTCCAAACTCTAACTCCCTCCATTTTCCACTTTCCTACTCTTCACCCAAACCCATTTCCACTCCCTCCTGCCCTCTCATGGGATGAAGAACTGCCTGATACCTCTTCACTCTTGCAGACCTCCAAATGTGTTTTGTTTCCCCCAGCAGCCCTTTAGCATCTCCTTGCAGCTTGTCTTGCCTGTTACTCAGAGCAAATACCACACTGAAACATCCATTCTGCAGCAGCTATTGGGGAAAGCAATGAAACACAGGCCTCATTAGTTGATGACTTCTTTCCCCTTTTGCTCAAAGGGGAGGGTGCACATCATGCGTCTCTTCTCTCCTCCAGTGCTAGGTTCCCTTACTGAAATACTTTTCACTGGAGTGGTACCCCACCCCACTTACTCTCACTCAGTCACAGTCTAAGTGGACAATAACACAGCAGACAAGCCCCTATGCTTCCCTTGTTCTGCTAAGCAGTGTGAAAGGCAGAGTAAGGCAGCCTCCCCTCCAAGAGTCCCGTAACACCCAGAAAAATGAAGAAAAGCCAAGCTATCCTAGAAAATCCATGCCAGCCAGTCCTTGACTTTCCACATAATTACCTTGAGGGACTTCCAGCACTGGGCATAGCTTTGCTTCAAGAAATCCACATATCAGACACTGAAGCAGAAAAACAACAAGATTATCTTCCCTCTTCCATCCTCCTTTCTGACCTTGTCTCTTCCTGTTCACCAGCCCATTCCCTATACGTCTTGAAGATCATATTTCTTTCTGACCCATCTACCAATGCCTTTCTGTCTCTTCTGCTTCACTGCTCCCATGATCAGGAACATCCTCCCCATCATTAGCAGATTGTGTTTCCAAATAAAAGCATCAAACTCTTGAATTAGCATCCTGGTCTCCCCATGCTCAGTAATTCTCTGCTTTGTTTAGGGTATGGGAGGGAGGAAGCATGGTATAAACAGAAGACTGATACAATTAGGTTGCACATATTATTTTAATGTATAGAAAGTAATGGTTATAAAACGACATGGGAAACTTTTGTATGAAATGCCATCTATTTCTGTATTGTCCTCTTGGTAAATTAATCCACATCATAGCATTTGTTTTTCAGAAGCTATGATAGGCAAATAAACTTCATACTTTCTGATCCAGATATCCTGCATTTTCTTAGTTCTTCCAACACCATTTCCAGGGGGAAAATATCCTAAATG